TGAGCAAGGAGAAGGAACTAAGGAAATCCCTCAAAATACTTCACAATGTGATTTTTTAAAAAAGAGAGAATGACACTATGGAGAAGCCAAAATTTCCAACATCTATCTAGTAGGCAATGTAAAAGAAAGTAGAGAGATTATAAGAGTGATGTGTTTTTTTTTAAAATAATAGCTAATAATTTCCCAGAAAAGAAGAAACATTTCAGTACTCAGATTAAAAGATCTCACAACATCCTGTTAGGGATAATTTTTAAAAATATAAACAAACAGATAATCAAATTTAAAAAAAAAAAAAACCTAGATATATCAAAGTGATACTTAAGACTATCAGAATAAAGAAAATCCTCAAAGCAAAGAGATAAAATGTATTAACATGCTGTGAAATTAAAATTCCAGAGAATCGGACTGACACCAGACAACTCTTATTATCCAGAGTGCATATAAAAAGATAATAGAGAAATATCTCCAAAGGCCTGAGGGAAAAACAACTTTTAACCAAAATTGCAAATGCAACCAAATTATCATCCAAAAAGGAGGGTGTGATAAAGACAGTCTGGGATGTACAAAGGCTCTAAATTAATCACCACTTACTCTCTATTTCACACATACACACACACACACACACACACACACACACACAGACACAGAGTGTTGAATCTTTAAAAATTTGACCATAAAAAGTATTTTAGTCATAATTTAGAACTAAATTTCTGTATGATAGAAATATGGGAGATGGGGCAGGGCGGAAAGAACTAAAAAATATTTCTCTTTTGAGTGGAGAATGTAAATACTGATGATATTTATTTTTCTAATTAAATCTTCAGTTAAAGTATGTTCTCTAAGAGTACTAAACACAATGCAACTAAAATAGATACTCCTATTACAAATCCAAAAAAGTATCAAAAAGCATTTTTTAAATTAATAATGGTATGTACAAGTTTTTATGTAGACATATGCTTTTATTGATCTTGGATAAATATCTAAGATGGAATGACTGGATCATGTTGTAGGTTTATGTTTAACTTTTTAAGAAACTGCCAAACTGTTTTCCAAAGTGGCCATACCATTAACATTCCCACTAGCAGCTGATGAGGGTTCCAGTTCCTCCACATTCTCATCACCACTAAGTATGATTAATCTTTTGGAGGATAGATAGATAGATAGATAGATAGATAGATAGATAGGTAAATGATAGATAGATAATCAGACACAGATAGATAGATAGTAGAATCTCATTTTGGTTTTAATTTGCATTTCCCTAATGACTAATGACATTAATCATCTTTTCTTGTGCTTATTTATTTATACCATCCCTGATAAAGTGTCTGTTTAAATCTTTTGCCCATATTTTAATTGAGTTATTTGTCTTATTATTGTCTATAATTCCAACAGGAACTCTGTCTTTTTGCCAAGAGGAACCAAGATAAGGTGGTAATTAAAATGATGTTGCACTGGCGTAAGACTCAACAAAAAGATCAAATGCACTAGAGAGCCCAGCAGCACACTGTGCATATTTAGGAACTTGACATAAGATAGCAGCATCATTTAAAACTGGTCAGAAAGAGAGAAATTACAAATGGTTGTGGGACAATTAATTATACCAAACTTAAATCCTTATACTACAAACAAAAATTAAGTTGCAGGTGGATTCTATATACTTCATCATCACTAAATTTTAAAATTATTAAGCCTAAAGAACTAATTACTCTAAGTAATAAACATCAACGGCTGCTAACATCCCAAAAAAGAAAAACAATCCGATATAAGTTGCTTCCTGATGGAAGCACACACACCACCTGTGAAGTATTCTTGCCAAAAAACTCAAACTTGAATGTGATCACACCTCTAACCACCCCTTTACAAGGATAGAGGAACATGTTTAAAATCACCACAGAGATGCCGTTAGCAAAATCCAGACTCTGGGAAACTTTACAGGACAAACAGCTTGGTGGTTTCAGCCAATATGTTACAAGAGGGTGGCAAAAGAAGCAGAGGGGTAACCTACCAATTGAAAGAGATTTAAGAGACACATCACTGTTGCCAAGTATGAACCTTATTTAAATCCCGAATCAAATTAATGGTTAAATATATAGAGACTGCATATGTACTATAAAATGTCACTCAAGCACCAAGCAGGAAGTGGCATACAAAGGTAAGGAGAAGGCAGATATAAGGATTCTCTCCTGGGGACACCACCACCTTCCCCAACTTTCACACAGATAGGGTTTGCTATGAATACAGTGCCAGAAATAGTAACTCCTGTCTTGAGGGCAGGACCCTCTTCTTCTCATCCTGGTCCCGGCCCCCTCACACAGGCCCAGCCAGAATGAACAAACTATAAAAGTGACCTCTTACTTCAGATGTCCCAGAGCTGAGGACGAAATACCTATGACTGCACTTAGTCATTTCAGGAACCACAGTGCCTAACTGCAGGGTGAAAAAAGGATGGATGGATATAAATATGGATATGGATATGGATATGGATATGGACATGGATATGGATATGGATATGTAAGGGATAGACAGATGGACAAACAGATGGACAAATAAATTGATGCTCAAACTACCAACTGCATTCCCTGAGTCCCATTAAAAGCTCAGGCCTGAATCTTAGTCATATTTCAGAGAACTTGAAACATAATTCATAAGGTTATGCAAAGTCTAAGCTGGATGGATCCTAAAAGATCATATATTCTAACGTCTTCATTTTATAGAATATAAAATTGAAATCTGTAGAGGACTGTTTGCCCATCATCTTTGGAGGCAGAGTCAGATCTGAAATCCATGTGTCTTGACTCCCAATACCATACTCTGTAGGAAAAGTATTCTTAAAGTAGTGACCCTTTTTTCCTCTCTATCCTTAACTAGGTCATTCAACCAACTTTGTGGTAACCGTCCTTCTACCCTCCAAGCGGTCCACAGATTACTGGATTGCCAAGGGATCGGCTTTGCTCTGCCAGCTGAGTGAGTGAAAAGGTGCCACCTCTGTGCTAAAAAAGAAGCAGACAGGCGATTTTTCCTGAAGTGGGTAGAGTCTACGTAACTTATCGTGGGGCAATACAATGTTATTTCTGATCTAAGGATAGTAAGTGTGGCTTTTAGTTCTCTGATAACCTAAAATAAAGTGTTTGAGTTTTTCTTTCTATTGGTAATTCAAGCTCTGGTGTGAAAGCAGTGAGTTCAGCACCCACCTCTTAAACCTGCTCTCCCTCCCCCAAGCGAGAGCCAGGCGGCTTCCTGGGAGGTTTCCTGGGCATTCAGAACTCAGCCTTCCTTACCCACACAGGTTTCCTTCCTCTGAATATGGATAAGAAAAGCCTGCTGTAAACGTCAGTCAGAGCCTTAACCATGGGAGGTTGATGTTGTTACCATGGCAACTGGTACAGCAAAGGAGCAGATAAGATCTTGGCCCATGATGCCAGTTCTCCCACTCCATGTGGCTATATTACAATCCTTAGAAGAGCTTGTGCTTTCACCAAAGTGCAGGTCGATTCTGCCTAGTGCACAGAAATTTTCCCCTTCCACTTTAGAATGAACCTGTGTGAACACTGGCCAAGTGCCACCCAGGTACATTTGAGCCCTTGCCAACTAACACAAAAACAGTGTTAGTTGGGCCAGTGCTAAGATGGAGTGGCAAACTATTTTGTATCAACCCTGCCCACAAAGGTCTATTTGCTTTCTGAGCCATAGCATAAGCCAAGAAACTGGAAACACCCAGCTAGGATGTGTGGAAAGCTGGAAGAACGGGGCCAGTCATAGTAATCTGACCCTCCCATTTTACCTCTGCTTCCCCACCTTCATCCTCATACCTATCAAAGTTAAGAACAGACTCAAGTAGCAAAGAAGCAGAGAGCACCACTTCTATTATGCCTCTAGAGTTCAGAGCAGAAATCAGAAACTACCCCTGGTGTTTCAAG